TATATTTATATTCATAAAAATGAAATGTTATATTCTATAAGATTATTGTTTATATTTTTTTTTATTTAATTTGCTTACCTCATATTCTGTAAAATTGGAATTAAATTGTTCGTTTTCTTCCATTCTATATTTATTATTTGAATTTTCATTTTTTAATTGATTTTCATCTTTTTCGATTTTCGTTCCGAACTAAAAAATATTTATATTCATAATAATAGAATATCACATTTTACGATTATCTAAGATTAATTATAAAAATTTTTTTCTGTTCATTTACTTTGTATACCTTATATGATTCTATTAAATCGAAATTAAATTGATTGCTTTTTTCTATTTCATATTCATTATTCGAATCCTGTATGGTTTTCGAATCAATCTAAAAAAAATATTCACATTGAAATTCTAATGAAATTTTGTAAATTATACATTGCTGTTAATTTATACATGCTGAACAAACCAATAAATTATCTTTGCTTTTGAAGAAAAGATTTTTATAAATTTTTCGAGCTTGTTCAGGATCAATATCAGCTTCTATTAATGATGTTAAGACATCTCTTTCAGTTACACGTAATTCAGGATTAGCATCAACTAATAAGACTGATTTTTTGCCTACTGAATTATTTTTGACTTTATCCAATTTTTGATACCACATTAATTTTTCAGTTACTCTATCTTCATTTAAAACTTTCGGTGGTGTTGGTGATCGAACTTTGCTAATATTTAATAATTGCTGAGCATATGCAACATTATTTATATCTTCTTCTTCTGAATTATCCGATATATTCAAAGCAAGTTTCAATTGATAAATTTCGTACAACATTCGATTCTATTTAAAGATATATTATGTTATTTTATATTTATATATACATTATTATATTTAATATTATTTTACAAATTTAAATAATAAATGTAATCCTAACCATATCTAAAATTTTTTTGTTTTTTTCGATGTATTTCTTAAATATCTTGTTTAATTCATTATCAGTGTATAGACCATTTACTATTATTTCGTGTGTAATTTCATACATAAGTTTAGCGTATCTTTCTTCTTCATCTTTTTCATCGATTTTTGGATTATCTATTAAATTATCATAAAATTGATCAGGATTTTCATCATTTCTTGATGTGCAAATTTCTGATGAAAGATTATCATTGACGTTTTGTGATAAAAAACCACAAGATTCACATAGTATTGAATTTTCTTCATATCTATGTATATTTATATTAATATAAATAATTAAATAAATAAATGATTAATATAATGATAAATAAAATAATAAATATCTATAATTAACGATATAAATGACGATAAATATCTATAATTAAAATGAATTTAAATAATAAAATAAAGTTTTCTATCGCAAAATTTGATCTTACCTATCATTATGAAATTTCAATGCGTTTTTCGCATTTATAGGATTAAATATTTTTCTATAATTAGTATTTGATTCTGTGCATTGTTTTCTTACATTGCTATTATTTGATAAAAGTGGCTCTGAAGTATTTATTTTATATATCGGAGAATTAATACAAGCTAAGTGATTACGTAATTTTGGTTTTGAACAGATTGCATTACAATCGTAACAAGTAGTAAAATATTTTTGTGCTTGACACTGGCAAAAATACTTTGAACCATTATTCATTCTTAAAAAATCCTATTGATTAATGAATAAAACAATTCGAATTTATTATTTTTTGTTATAATATATATATTGTAATATTTTATGCATAATTATTATTATAATATTTATAATAATTTTTACCGCTGGATGATATGAAGTATCATATGCCAACTTATCAATCATATTGTTTGTAATATCTGTTTTTGCACATTTTGGTTTCCAGCCAATTTGTTTACATGCTTGCTTTTTTTTACGCATATAGGTTTTGTTTCTGGCATCTACAACACATTTTGCTAGTAAAATGCGTCGCAAATGCGCACTCATAGAATTGTACGCTGTTAATTGCTCAAAATAACTTTGTCCATTTTGATTGTACACTATTCAATATAAATTTACAAAGATAATTTTGCAAAATATATATCTGTTGAATTATTTAAAATGACGATATTTCAATCAAATTAAAAGATATAGAACAATAAAAAAATATATTTTTACCAGTGCTTTTAAGATTAACTTCACTCTTATTACATCTTGTCATTTCTTGAAAATTATAACAATTTTGCTTGCCTATGAATTTTTCTTATCTTATACTTAGTGTATTAATTTAAAAAATATTACAAAAATTTTAAATGATTAATACGAAAACAACAAATTTATATTTTATGAAATGTATAATGATATGAAAAACACTGTAATGTACACGTATATATAAATTTAAAGTTGTTATTATGGGTTACTAAGCAACAATATAATTCTTCACTTTGTATACTTATCGATACTATTCTATAGTTCATTTGTAATTATGTCTGTGATTGAATGCTTAAATTTTTGAACGTATCACAATTTATGTTACCTATAGTCGGTAACTAAACTTTGTATCAATTCTTTAGTTTATCAATGTTCACAATTATAATAAGAAATTTTTTATGCATATATATATATATGTAGATTTAATAATATATTTAATTGTAGTAAAACTATATGTTAAATAAAAGTCAGTCATTATAAGGTATGTATATATATATATATATATATTATCGCTTTTCAGATAATATGTATTTGCACAGTTTATCATTTTTTCTTGCTATCATAGGTTTATTTGATTTTAATGATTCATTGTCAATATGATATTTAAAAAGATTGGAGCCATAACCTAGAATTAGGCATGTGCAAAGCATTATAGATAATAAAATATGAAAATAGAACAAAAATATTACGATGTATAATGTTTATGAGCAATTAACTATTAAGGACTTAGGAAATTGGGTTGCTTCTGGAGCAATGATATTTGGTGGTATTATTCCATATGTACCACAATACAAAGAAATTAAAAAAAGAGATAGTGCAGAAGGATTTTCTCTTTATGTATGCCTTACACTTTTAATTGCTAATACATTACGTATTTTCTTTTGGTTCGTATATTTGTTTTACATATCTGATATATTTTTGTCATATCAAATAATGTATTATATATTTTTTTACAGGTTTGGAAAACATTATGAAATACCTCTTTTGTTACAAAGTATATTTATGATTGTTACTATGTTTATAATGATTAAATTATGTATAAATGTACAAAGTAGAAATCAAGTAATAAAAGTTAGAGAACGTGTATTTTCAGGTAAATTTAAATATAATAAAATAAATGCAAATAATATATATAAATTATATATAATATATATAATGTATATTCAAAATTTATAACTTATATGTAAATTTAATTTGTTTAGATTTTGATGCAAATTTTTTTTGGAAATGGACAGATTTTCAATCCTATTTAGATTTTATGCTATTGTTTGCGGCATTAATAGGAATATTAACATATTTGTTAATAGATATACCAATATTTGTTGAAACTATTGGATTATTTGCAGTATTAACAGAAGCTATGCTTGGAATACCACAATTTCTACGTAATTTTTTTAATAAATCTACTAATGGAATGAGGTAATAACAAGAATTAATAACAAATAATTATTGAATAATATTAAATTTTTTTATGATTACAGTATTTTTATGGTTGCTATGTGGACATTGGGTGATACATTTAAAACATGTTATTTTATTATAAGAGAAGCTCCAATTCAATTTGAAGTTTGTAGTACTCTTCAAGTTATAATTGATATTGCAATTTTAACACAAGTATATATTTATCAAAGCAGTACAGCAATACATACAAGAGTCCCAGTTCGAATAGATTAAGTCTGATACTTTACATATGTGAATGATATAATGTACTATTTCTATACTTTTTATTGACTAAAAAATTTATCTAAAAATTTTTTTATTATATTGAATTTTTTATACATTTTAATTGTATTTTATTATGTATTAATTTTTTTAAATAAAATTTTGTTAATACAATAAAAAAATTAAATTTAATTAAATTGTAAATATGTATAATATAATAATGTACATATTATTATTTTTACAACAGAAATAATTCATAAATCATACATATAAACATAATTGATAAAATTTATCTATTCATATAACTAGGAAAATTTTATATAGGAACTTTCAGAATTTATACTATATTTATATTTGCAGTAAATTCACAATGATTGGTTGCAGTTTTCAATTTTAATTTACAATTTTTTTTTAATATTTTTAAAAAATAATGCTTAGATCAATCTGTTTTTTGAATTTAATAAAAATAGGTTTTCAATAAAATAAAAATGATGATATAAAAAATTATTATTGTTATTGATCATTACTTATACTTAAAGTTATATATAATATATTTACAGATTGTATTTACGGTTACAGGTATAGTGATTTTTGTTAATGAAGATATTAATTTTAGTAAAAAGTTTTATATATAATATATATATATATATTTATATATATATATATATATATATTACATTTTGCATATTTATATTATTATATTTTTTTAAATATTTTGGTTTAATATTTTAGAATTCTGAATGTAGCTCTGTATTTTCTAATTGAAGTACATAACCTATTTCTTTAGTTTCTTAATTATTTTATAATATATTTTATAAAATATATCAGTAATAATTTATAAATTACATGTAATTTATAAATATTTTAAAAAAATAAAAAATTAAAAATATTAATTATAAAGTACCAAACCATAAGTTGTAATGGGAGAGAGTCAGTGGAATGATTGGAAACCTTTTATTTACGGAGGTTTAGCTTCAATTTTTGCAGAATTAGGTATGTAATACAATTAATTTGTAGTAAAAGTTTATTTATAAATTAACTTATTTATTTATTATTTTCATAAATATATTTTTGAACAGGTACTTTTCCTTTGGACACAACAAAAACACGTCTTCAAATTCAAGGACAAAAATTAGATCAAAGATATGCACATTTAAAATATTCTGGTATGACTGATGCTTTATTTCAGATATCACAACAAGAAGGTTTCAAAGCTCTATATTCTGGGTAAATGTAATTTATATAGACAAAATATTATTTTAATATAATACTATTTTAATAATATTAATTAATTAATTATTTTAATTATTTTATATTATCAATATTATATTGAATTAAATAAAATTATTTTATTTATATATATAATCTTTATAGAATCAGTTCAGCTATTTTAAGACAAGCTACTTATGGAACTATAAAATTTGGTACCTACTATTCTTTAAAAAAAGCAGCAATGGATAAATGGGAAACAGATGATTTAGTTATTATAAATATCATATGTGCTGCTTTAGCTGGTGCTATTTCAAGTGCTATAGCTAATCCTACTGATGTAGTAAAAGTACGTATGCAAGTAACTGGAATCAATTCAAATTTATCGTTATTTGGTTGCTTTCAAGATGTATATCAACATGAAGGTGTTTGTGGGTTATGGAAAGTAAGTTAATTATTTATAAATTTTAGCAACATATATATATTTATATATATATTTTATTTTACATGTATTCATAAATATAATTTTATATTAAAAATTTTATATAGGGTGTAGGACCTACTGCCCAAAGAGCAGCAATTATTGCAGCTGTAGAATTACCTATATATGATTATAGTAAAAAAAAATTTATGATTTTATTAGGAGACAGTGTTAGTAATCATTTTGTGTGAGTAAATCATTTTTACTCATATATTTAATTCTATATTTTATTTTTTGTGTATATACTTATTATATATTTAATTTATTAATATTATCATAATAATATAATTATTAATATATATATTTAAATTATTATATAACAAACAATTTTTTCAAAAGTAAGTTTATATTGTTAAATAACTCATTTATTTAATATCAATACCAAAATAATAAAAAATGAACCCTTATCCGGGCTATTTCTATTTATGTAATATGTTTCTTACATTATTATTCTACTAATAAATATTTCATAATTGAATTTTTGAAGCAAACATTCAAATTTTATGCTCTTTTACAATATGTGATGTCATGTAAGTATATTTAAATAGAAAAATATATATTAATTTTATTTAAAATTTTTTTTATATATTTTATTATTTTTAATATTAAAATTGTTTATTATGCTTTTTAAATTGAAAAATATTTTTTTATTTTATGAATTTTAAAAATTAAAAACTTATTAAAACTTATATTATAAATGTAACTAACAAAAATCTGTTTTTAATTTTAATTTTGAAGTTCATTTTTATATTGTATAAATGTTTATATATTGTATAGATGTTTTTGTTTTTAAGAATAACAGGTAATGAGCTAATAAGTCATATAATATTGTTATAATGGCTTATATTTGTTAAAAAGGAAGTAACATTTTTCTAAAAATGAAAAATTTTATTCCAGGTTCTTTCACACTGTGGTGCACATGGGCACGTGCAGTACGTGGACATGGAGATGACCACAAAAAATCAAAATGGAAGTTATGTTTAATATTTCTTGTTTTATTTAAAATTATTAAAATTGTGAATCCAGATGATTAATCGCATTATAAATTATTTTGGTTAGCATATGTTTCATAGATTTATTATTTACAATTTTGAAATGATAAAATATAAAATTAAATACTTATTTTGCTTTTGTTTGTATATTTTTAAAAATTTGTTTTATTATTAATTATTATTATTTTTTAAAAATATAATATATGAAAATATATTATACAAAATATTTAAACAAATTGTAACATTGTAGACATCACAATGTATAATTTATAGTGCTTGGATAAGGGTTGGTTTAATTAATAAAAATGTAACAAAATAAGATTTTAAAATTAATATTGAATATATTTTGTACATATACATAATTTTATATATTCCAGGTCCAGTTTTATAGCTAGTATGGGAAGTGCAATAGCTTCTACTCCTATAGATGTCGTTCGTGTAAGTATTATTTATAAATATTTTATTTATATTTTTATCTAAATGATAGTACTATTGTAGACACGTTTAATGAATCAGAGGAGGATACGTACTACAGGTGGTATATTACCACCGCATATTTATAATGGTAGCATAGATTGCTTTGTACAGGTATATAATGTCAAATATCAAACATATATATATATATATATATATAAAATGTGTGCATATTTTTTTTATTTTTTTAATAATAATGAATTTTATTGTTTTTATAGACTTTTAAAAATGAAGGATTTTTAGCTTTATACAAGGGTTTTGTACCTACTTGGTTTAGAATGGGACCATGGAATATAATATTTTTTATAACATATGAACAATTGAAAAAACTAGATTCACAATAATGCATTGGATTGTTCAAGTAAATAATAATAAATAAAAAATATGTATGTATGAACATACGATAAAACAATGATTGTAACTAGAGTTTGTAATGAATATTTGTATTATATAATTTATTTTTATGAAATTTTATTTAAACATATAAAAAAAGCTATGCAGAAAAAGTAACAAAAATAAATAGAATTTATTTTTTTGAATCATATCCAAATTATAGATTAATAAAAATATTTATAATAAAAAATATGAAATATTGAATCAATATTAAAAAACATTAATTTAATATATATCATATTATTTATAATATATATCATATATTATAAATCAAAATGCAGATTATAATTGCATTTCTTATATTTAGATTTGGATTTTTATGAAAATATAAGACTGGTGTTAAAATTTTTTGAAATATATCTAAAAAATTTTAAAAAATTATTTACTACATATTATTATCTATAAAAATTTGTTAAATTTGCAAAAAATATATGTTAAAGAAACAGTATTTCAAAAGTATATAACATTTGTATTGAAATTTTTTTTTATAAACTATTGGGAATGCATAACAGTATGATATATTAAAATATTATAAATATAAATATACACGCAACAAATATTAGACTATTCAACAAATATTATAACAATTTCAAATGAACATAACATGTATGTATAATTTTTTTGCTATATGTTTACTAAGTTAAAAAATTTTATTATAAATTAATAATGAAATTTATAATTAAATTAAAAGATCTTTCATTGAAAATATTACAATACTAATTATACATTTTTACAATTCCACACAATTATCTTTTTATCTTTTCCACCAGTTAAGATTATATTATTTTCTGTTGATACTGATAATGTATTAATTGGACCTAAAATATTATTAGTTTCTTAATTATTAATTAAACTAAATCATATTGAAAAATGATTCAAATATTGAAGTAATAGATTTTATGATACATAATATAAACAATTACATATAAACAATTAATTAATATTAATATTAATATATAAAATACTGTACCATCATGGCAATGTATTTGTGTAATAAAAATTGCTCCTTGACGATTCCAAACATTAATATTACCATTGTTATCTCCTATTAATAAAAAAGTTTTGAACCATGTTAATGTTAAAGGTTCATATTCTATAGTCGTACGATAAATCTGAGTACTCGTATAAATATCAATAATGTTTAACATTTTATCCTCTGCACATGATATTATACTTTTTCCTTCTTGATCAAATACCATTGCATTTATTTTATAATTATGTGCTGTAGACAATAAAATAATCGTACATTTTAAAATAAAAAAAATAATTATTTTAAACTTACCTTTTACAGTAAATTGAAGATTATATGTATCCATATTCCATAAAAAAATTTCTCCATCTTCTGTGCCAGATATCAATAATGTTTCATCTCTATAAATATTTCAATATAAGATATTAAAAGCATAATATTTAATGCAATTTATAAAATATAAAAAATGACTTTACCCTGATATATTGATGCAAGTTACTTTAGAATCATGATCTAACTGTGCTATAAGGCACTCAGCTGGTTTAATTTTTGTCCCAGAAGAATAACTTTGCCAAACTTTTGCTGTACAATCCCATGAACCAGAGATAATAATTTGACGAGTAGTACTTAATGCTAAACAAGAAACAGCATCTTCATGACCTTGAAGTACATCTATTATTCTACCAAACTCAATATCATAGAATATTCTGTAAAAAAAATATTAATTAATAGAATGAAATATATATATACATATAAATGTAAAATATTATAAAAATTATAAATAATAATAATATTATAAAGAAAATATTTATTTAACACACTCACAATGTATTGTCCCAAGAACCGGCAACTAATATATTGCGATGAGAAGATGTATAATATGATATGCAAGAAGAAAGTGGTAATGATGATAAAGACACATTACGCGTTAATTTTTTATTTTTTATACTATATAATTTAAGCATTCCATCTTGTCCTACTGATATTATTTCATTCATTTCTTCTCTATTTGTTATAATAATACTACTTACACTTTCTTTATGAGATTGAAACATTATTAATTCATGTAATTCGAAAATCTCTATAGGATTTTCCTCGTTTTCTAAAAACATAGAATAATGTTTTTATTAATCATAATGCGCGCATTTATATTTTAATAAATTTTAATTTATCAATTCAAAAAATATACCTTTTCCATTTTTAACTGATATTGAATCAATTTCACTATATAATTTATCCAAAATAAACATTGAACGTTTTGGATGTGGCAAAGTAAAAATTTGTTTTGGTATTTGACCAAACTCCATAATTTGTATTTCCAAACCATGTCTATCATTAATATCTCTAATAGTATCTAAGTCTACTGCTCCTTCATAGCACAGGTGGAAAAATACTAGAATACATTATTAATAAACACATACATTAATAATTTATATAAATGACATTATAGAATAAATATTATTTACATATTAACTTTTACAATTAAATACTTAATTTACCATTATTAGCTTTTTCTGCTTCAATTCCTCTTTGTTTATATCCAAAAATTAAATCAATCCAATGATGAAGATTTTGAGAAACATAATCATTCTCTAAAGCATTTCTTAATATTTGTACAAAATGAGCTGGTCCTAGGATTCAATAATTAATTTATTTAAACTTTAAATAATTATTATTTAAATTAAATACATAAATTGCAAATTACATACCATTTGCCCATGGTGGTAATTGTACATCTCCAATTTTTGTTCCATCATATCGATAACCAAAATCAATACCATAACTATTTACTAAAAAATCACCACCATTGTTTACGTCATAAAATTCCGGGATCAGTTCTTTAAAGTCAGACATGTTCACCAAAACATTTTTCCATACGTCAGCTACACTGTTAGGTGTTTTTGTTGGTAAGAGTGAAACAAAAAATCGATTCTGCAGAGTCGACAGAGTAATTATGTATTTTTATGGTACAATAAGCAATTACCATAAAATTTTGCCTTGTCTGCGCGATTAAAAACTTTATTCACATACTCTTATTATCATTACTAAACTGAATAATACATACATTTTTTTAATGCTTATGAATTTAGGTACTTCAAAAAAAAATTTTAACAATATATCTTTTTATAAAATGTACATACCTATTGAACATTCTATCTGGATGATCAAATCTTCCATTTTGTAAACAAAGCATGTATTGAGGATACTTTCGTACTAAATAAAATAATACAAATCCTGGGGCACTATAATGAGAACCATACAAAAATTTTGGTTCTGACATTTCTAAATATCGTTCCTGAAATATAATACCAATATTTTTATTTATAAATCATTATTATTAAAAAATAAAAATAATAAATATATATAAAAAAAAATTGACCTTTAATCTTTCTAGCCGATTTGATTCAAGAGCTCCAATAGGTTTTGAAAGATCTCTATATATTCTAGGATCTTTTAAATCCAATGTAGTAGATGTATAATCTTGTAATACCCATGGCATAACTGGATATTGGGTTAAATCATGAAAAGTTCTGTCTGCTAAACTGCAAAATAATATTTAAATTAATTAATATTTAATATTATATTAAAATTTGGTATTATAATTATAATTAATATAAATTACCTATTAATATACAAAAGATAATCATAATTTGACAGAGAACCATTTTGCCACCTCATAGTCATTTGATCTTGAGGTACTCTTTCTAAAGAAATTGCAGGTTGATTTAATAAATTTGTATATAATTCATCTCTATCATTTTGATTTTTTAATGATATAAATAAATGTTCAGCCTTATTTTCAGGTTGGCGTAACCATTTAATTTCAAGCCCCTTAAAAAAAAATTGATACATATTAAATTGATACAAATTTAATGATTATATTAATTTAAAAGATCACACTTACAATTTGACTTAGAAGAAATCGTCTTTTATTAATATTAATAATATCTTTCAGTTGTATTTTTAGAACTGGATGCTAAAATCAAAATTATTTTTTTAATATGAATAGAAATTATTTATAATTATAATTAAAATACATACTTGATCTAAATTATTATAAGGCTGAAAATAAATTCTTGAAGTTGTTAAAAGTATTCTTCCTGGATTTATAACAAGAGGTAACACTTTATTTGCTTGAATTTCTAACACTACCTGCTCATACAAATCCTCTAACCATGAAGTATCAAATGATACTCTAGACTGTCGAGAATGTACAATAGCCATAATCTATAAAAATATAAAAATAATAATTTAATACATTTATATTTTAATGTAACTATATAAATAATAATTTTGAAAAATACCATAGCATTTTGTTCAGCAGTTGGTAAAGTAGCTGCTCTAAATAGTTGTAGAATATGTGGAAGATAATCATCTATTTTTGCATAATTAAAGAAAAAGTGAAAAGTAGCATTTTGATGTATAAATTTATATGGTGCAAGTATATTCTTCTCTAGCATCTTTACATACTGCTTACATTGAACCAATAATATATTGCCACATCTTGCAAATAAAATAAAATTTGTTAATAAAAAAAAATAATTATAATTACGTATTAAAAATCAAAAATATACTAACTTTGCTATATCATTGTTGGATTGACATTGATCAATAGTTAGAGTTTCTTTAAGTTGAATTTTAATTAAAGGCTGATTAATATCTTTATTTACAAATACTAATGATTTTGAACATAATTTTAATCTTCCATCTTTCCAATTTTGTTCTTCTGAAGTAGAATTATCAAATAATTTCATTTGAACACTATAATCTTCAAAAAATATCTCCCCAGGTTCTAAAAGGAGCATAGTGAACCTGATACATACAAAAATTTTTTATTTATTAAATGATTATAATATGTCATTAAATAATTTGTTGTTAAAAATATTTGATATTTGATAAATGATAATTAAATTAATCTATATATTTTAAATTAATTTATATATATATTTAAATATATTACCAGAAAATAATTATATTTTTATAAATAAATGCATATAATTAAAAAAAAAGATTACCTTTCTTTTTCCATTGTTACAAAAATAAATACAAATTATAGTGACAGTAAATTGTAAATGATACGCATAATTAATACTT